GCTCCGCGGGAAGCCTACCTCTCCCTCTCCCTCTCCCACTCCCCCTGCTTGTGTTCCCTCTCTCGCTGTGTCTCTCTCTGTCAAATAAATAAACAAAATCTTAAAAAAATAAATAAATAAAGGCTCTAAAAAGTTGTAGAGTAAAATACCCATCTAGCTTTGACTCAGTTTTCTCAGATTCATTTGACCAGAAGCCCCTTTTCATGGAACATGGTGGGTAGACTCTACTCTTCATGGAGCAGCTGTTAAGAGCATGCCTCTGAGGCAGGTTCCTTAAGTCACATCCCAGCCCAGCCATTGACTAAGTGTGTGACCTGGGCGAGTTTCCTCACTTCCATATACCTCGGTTTCCTCCTCTGTAAGAAGGTCATTAGTATCATTACCTACCTTATAGGGATGTATGGCATTAAGTAAATTTATCCAGATAGCGTGCTTAGAAAAATGCCCAATACATAATAAGCCCTCAGTAAATGTTAGCTGTGGCATTAACAAGAGCGTCCTTGTATGTATTTACATTGTTCCTTTTATGTATAGTCTTCCTGGCTCGTAATATGGAATTCATCATCGATCTTTTTAGCAGTCTACCCATAATTTTTTGTAGTGCTGTGTCGACTCCAGGAAGGCTATTACAAGGCTTGTCGTTTCATGATCAACAAGTTTTTTCTCCTACTAGCTAATTACTGACCGTTATAAGGTATCCATTCATTCAACCTGTATTTATTAAACACTGAATGCCAGGCACTCATGTGGGACCCAGGGCTGCGCAGCGACCATGGCCGGCAGTCCAGAGCCCTGCTCTGAGAGCGTGCCCTCCAGCAGAGTGAGGCACACAGTAAACCAGTGAACTAGCAAGGTCATCCCAGACGCAGGTAACTGCCTATCAGGAGGACAAGGGCTATGGCACAGTGTGACATGGGGGAGCCTGCTTGAGGTCGGAGAGCCAGGGTAGGCCTCTCTGAGTGAGGTGAGCTCGAGCCTAGCCCTGAAGGTGGAAAATAGTACAGCCCTAAGAGGGGCCCTGAGGCTGAAGAGGCCTTGGTTCCTGAGACAAGTCGCTTGTTTATTTATAGTTAACTTATTTAAGATACTACTTATATATACTACATAATGTGTGGGCGTGTGTGTGTGTGTATTTAGCAACACTTTTGCACTGGTGTGAATCAGCCAGTGTCCTGGATTTGTTGAACAGTCAGCCTCTGCCGCGCACGTGTTGAGTGCGGTGTCAGTATGTGGGGCAGGTTTGTGCGTTCTTTCCTTCAGCACTTACTGACTGCATTCCTTCCCTCGTGAGCTTTGGTGGGGGTGCCCAGTCCTCCCCCTGCAGGCGGTGACCCTGGTCCCTTGTAGTAAGTGCCCTGCTGGAAGGGTGTTGGGATGGACACTGCTTAGCAACTCTGCTCCCTGGCAGAGGGCACGGAACACGTGTGCAGGGGTCACACGTGACTCCCTCTGTTGTCAGAATAGAATCTTGCTGTGTGAGCAAATTATGTGACTGCTAATTATCTATTTAGATCTAAGCTGGAACCAGAACCAAATACAAAGACGAGAGAATCCATGTCTTCTGAGAAAGTTTCACAGAATCCTTCACAAGACTCTGAAGAAAAACCTGTCACTGAAGAACATCCAGGTATGAATTGAAACCAGAGTCTTGCCTTGCATCTCTTCCTTATGACGTATTGGCAGAAATACAAAGCAGAAAAAGGAACACAGTCCTAGACATCTTGCGGTGTTTGTACTTACATAAAGCAAAGGAAACGCAGAAGGGGCAGCCTTTTTTCTGTCCCAGTTGGAGCTGATGCCTGTTGGGGCAGGGCAGGAGGATTCCTCCAGCCACCCAGGAGCTGGCAGAGTCCAGGGAAAGGGCCTGAGTTGCGGTGCACCACCAGGGTGGGGGCTGGGGTCTCATGGAAGGTGGGGCACTGCCTCCCCTGCCCCCACGTGGTGCCCTGTCCTGTGATCTCAGCATCCTCTTAGCACTGACCCTGTGTGGCCGCCCTGCGTAGGCAGTGCATGCCTAGTTTGCTGGATCTCACATGTAGCAGGGGTGGGATTTTGCTTTGCACGAATGCCAGGATGATGGTGTGCTTAGGGCCCGGGGGCCGGACGTCTTCCTCAGCCCCCTCGTCCGTGTTATCACAGTGACTGTCATTGCTTGCACATCTCCCAGATGCCAGGCGCTGCCCTGAATCCTTGCAGACACCACCACCATCCTTAGAGCAGCCCCCTGGGATGGGTTTGGTGGCCCTGTTTTTGAGATGAGCCTTCTGAAAGGCTGGGAGAGGCTGGGAAACTTAAAAACTCATAAATGGTAGATTCAGGATTATATGCAGATCTGTACTGCCCCTCCATCTGATTTATTCCCTGCATTGTACAAGAGAGGGAATTCCGAATGCAGTGTGGGAATGAGCACCTGAACGATGCCAGGGGCTCTTTCTGTGGTTGGAAACAATGTCAGTGGGGAGAGGTGGGGACACCAGCACCTAGTGAGCCCTCCACTGTGCTGGGCTCATGCTGGGCCATCAACAGTTTGAGTCTCATTGGGTCTTTTGAGGTGGTGCTGTCATCATTTTACGTGTGAGGAAATCAAGCTTTGAAGAGATTGTATAACCTGTCCAAAGTCAAAACCCGAAAAAGGGGCAGCACTTGGGTCACTCTTTATAGAGCCTGAGGCTGTCCTCTCTGGTGGCTGCCTTAATCCATAGGCCGGAGGCCTTGCACACCTCCCATCTCCACTGGTCCCTAATGAAGGAAAACCCCAGCATCACTCATGAACTAACGGGGCCCAGCTTCTCATAAGACAACACCTAGGGATATTATGTCTACATTTACTCATGCCTGACACTGCATACTCGTTCCATCACTCATTCATTCCGGAAATACCGGTAGGGCTGATGAGAGTGGGGCGAAGCCAATACAGATTCTTGGGGCCCAGCTGAGGGCGGATCTCCAGTGAAGAGCTGTCTGCCCCTGCTGAGCCCTGAGCCCACATGGACTGCTGCTGTGCCAGGCACTGTGCTGGGTGCTGGGGACAGTAGTGAGTAGAAAACAAGACCCCTCTGCTTATAGGAAACAGATGTTAGTGGAACAATCACACCCGTGTAGTATACAATCATTGTACGTGATGTGCAATAGAGGGTCCTGGTCGGAGGAGAGATTAGGCCTGTCAGAGAGGTCGGAGAGCTTGATATTTCAGTAGAGACCCAAGGGCCGTGAGGAGTGAAGCCTGTCTTTCTCTCGGGCAAGAGCATCACAGGCCGGCGAAAGCAGACGTGTGGAAGCCCTGGGAAGGGAGCATGCCTGGCATGGTGGATGAGCAGCCTGGAGGCTGGAGAGCAGGGCAGAGGGCAGAGGGACAGCAAGTGAGGAAATGCCAGGGCTCCAGGCTGCTCGAGGACTGTGGCTTTTACTCCGTAGGAGGTGGGAAGCCATGGGGAGGTCTGCACGGAGCACGGTCCCACCCAGCTGTGTTTGAGCAGGGCCCCTGCAGTTGCTCTATTGAAGAGAGAAATAAGGACAGTGAAGAGGTTGCTGAAGTCCCCCAGAAACGGGATAATGGTGGAGCACAACACACATGGTAGCAGGGGAGTGGGGGGAAAGTGCTGGAATTCTGGATACATTTTAAAGTAAAACCACAGCATTTGGCTTCCTGTACATGGGACAGGCAGGAAGGAGGGGTCAAGGAAGGTCGTGGAGGTTTTGACAAGGGAGAAGTTTGCTGTCCTTCACTGCGATGTGGGAGATTGGTTTGATCAGGAGCCCAGGGTTGGGCATGTTAATTTTGAGATGCCTGGCAGAGATGTTGAATAGGGAGTTGGGTTTATGAGTCTGGAGGTCAGGGGGCAGGTCTGTAGGCAGCATCGATCCCCTGAGACAGGCTGCGATCCCCTGGAATGAGGGTGAGTAAAGAGAGGATGAAGGCCTGAGGCCTCCCAGCACTTCCCGTCTTCCTGCTTTATCCTTCTCCCGGGCATGTGCCACCATCCTTCTGTTTGTTTCACTTGTTAATGTTCTTGACGATCTGTCCCTCCTACTAAAATGTAGGTTCCATGAGGACAGGGATTCTCTGTGCTGTTTACTGCTCTAACACTGGCACCCACAACAACGCCTGACACACGGGACGTGCTCGATAAATCTCTGAAACAGCACATCACTGAAAACAGCGAAAGGACAGAGGAGGCTGATCGGGAACACTGATTGCTTTTAGTTGCTGTGGAAGCGTTTCCTAATGTAGAAGGAACCTCATGCCCCTGGGCAATAGGAAATACACCGTCAATTCCCGATTTATATTTTTATCTTAAAGTCAGTATTTGTTGTTTTATAATCACGAGGTTCTCTCCTGACTCAGCCAGCCCACCAGATATTAAGGGCGCGCTCTCCAGTTTAGCTCCTGACCCCCGCGTAGGAGACAGGACTGTATGAAGAATGTCTCTTCTGAGGCTGTCATGGTCCCAGCTCTAGCACCTCCTGGCACTTCTGAGTGCCAGTTCCCCCATTTTTAAAATGGGGGTGATGACACCTTTTAGGGGTGTGGGGAGGAGGGTGTGAGGTTGTCATTGGTGTTGCCTTTGCTTACTGCTCTCCTAGCATCTTGAGACACTCCCCCACCCCCATCTTGGTCCTGGGATGTCTCTGAGATGCCCTGTGGCCAGTGCTCTCCTGCCTTTTCCCCTGCACCCTAGCACCTGCCTGCTTCTGCCGGCTCAGCCTCCCTGCCCCCCCAACTCCACAGGCCACCCTTTCCTTCAAATCATTTAGGGATGCTTGTTATGTCCTCTTTTGCTTAGCTACACGGAATCCCAGAGACTTGTAAAATCAGAATATTAAAAGTGTACACAATTTCCTGTCTGTACAAATTCCTGCATATATAACAGATTTTTAAATATTTCAATTTTGTTTTTTCCCCAAGAGAAAGCTATTACCATTGCTGTATCCCACCTTTATCTATTACCTGTTTGTGGGTCTGTAAGGGAAGAGAAGAAACAAGGCTGCAGCTTGGAGTCATGGGAGCAACTTTGGAGTCAGACTAACCTGGTTTTGCAGCCTGGTCTCTGCCCTGAGCTGTGACCCTGAACAAGTTATGTAAACTCAGCCTGTGCTTTCTTGTGGTATCGTGTGGCCGTGGTTCGTTGTGAGCATCACGTGAGCTAGCATATGAAGGGCCTAGCAGTGTCTGGTGTGTACAGTCGATGTTCCACAAACCGCATGTCTTATGTTGGTTTGTAGAGCTGGCTATGAAGAGATCCACTGCTTGACACCGGGGATTGGGCAGTAGTATCCTTCTTCAAATGTAGCATTGAAAGTCACTAAGATAGCAAAGGAAAGTAAAATCTAGATTAGAAAGGAAGTTTTCTCTATTCACAAACTACCTAATACTGTATACAAAAAATTTTAAGGAATCTACCAAAATAAAAAACAATGAATGAGTTCATCAAGGTCGTAGGATACAAAGTCAGTATACAAAAATCAGTTTCATTTTTACATATTCTCAGTGAATAATCCGAAATGAAATTTAAAAAGCAACAATTCCCTTATAGCACCAAAAAGACTAAAGTACTTGGGGAATAAGTTCAACCAAAGTATAAAACTTACGTTTTGAAAATTCAAAAATATTGTTGAAAGAAATTAAAGATGATCCAAATAAATGGAAAAGCATCCCAAGTTTGTGGATGAGAAAGAATTAATGTTATTAAAATGGCAGTATACCCCAAATTGATCAACATACAGACATGAAGTGAGCACATGCTGTTGGAAAAATGGCGCCAGTGGACTTGCTGGACTCAGGGTTGCTACAGACCTTCACTTTGACAAAATGCAGTGTCTGTGAAGTGCAAGAAAGTGAAGCACCATACAACAAGGGATGTGGCCAAGGATGTGGCGATCAGAACCTTCATTCGGGTAAAAGTTCTCCAGGCAGAGGACCAAGCCAGCAAAGAGGTGTGGGGGGAGCCGAGCTTGGCATGTGGCAACGCGCGTGCGCACTCACGGGCTGAGGCACCAGTGAGGACGGCACACGGACAGACGAGATGGGGACCGAGGCCAGAGCCTGCAGGCCTTACGGGCCACGGTCAAGGTTTGCCTTTGATTCTGCGTGTGGCCAGAAGCCCCTGGCGGTTTTCAGGCTGAGAGTGGCAGGTCTGGCACACAGCTGAATATGGAAGAAGTGGCAGCTGTGGACTTGTCCAGATCTGTTGCAGATTGTGTGACAGTGTCGCATGGCAGGACAGCAGTGGAGATGGGGGTGGTGGTCGAGAGAAGCGCTCCAACTCCAACCGCAGCTTGGAGCTGCAGATGAACTCGTAGGTGGGGTGGCAGATGTGAGGGACAGAGGGACGGAGCACCAGGGCTTGGGGCTGGAGCAGCCCGGTGGACGGTGAGGAGGAAGGCAGGAGGAAGAGTTGTCTGGCAGCAAGGCTCGGGGGGGAGTAGGCGGGGCGGCACCAGAATTCTCGTCTACGCGTGCTAGGGCTGGGGCGCCTGATGGATTTTCAGGTGGAGACAGTGAGCCGGTGGTCGGAGTGAGCCTAGAGCGCAGGGAGGGCCTCAGGGCTGGAGACACCTGGGAGTCGTGGGGCTAGGCCATGCAGAGCCCCAGGCCCGTGTGCGCTCACCCGGGAGCGCGTGCGGGAGGGGAGAAGTCTGCGCCCACCTCTCTGCTGCTTCCCTGTTGTCTGGGGGCCTTCGACATTTCGTTCATCCCGACCTTGATGCTGGCGGGTCCGTCCTATCCCCCAGTCCCAGCTGCCCGCCCCCCCCCCCCCCCCCCCCGCCGCGGGGTTGCACATCTGCCCGTGGACATTGTGCTAAGCGTGTCTACAGTTTGCAGAAGGACTTTTTAAGTCGGGGCCACGTGGAATCCTTTGGCTTAGCTGTTCAGTTTTTCATTTCTCTTTTGAAACATGAGCTGTAACTTAAAAAATACTTCGGGATAGGACTAGGTGGTATAGTTCTAGGCAGAGCTTGCCACGCTTCTGTTTTTTAAAAAAACCACTAGTTGGGTTACTTTTCATTTAGTCAGCAGTATCCAGCAGCTCTGTGGTCATACAGCACTTTTGTCCTCGTCGGATGTTTAGGCCGCCGCCTTCCATATTCTTACTATGCCAGCACAGGGTCTGCATGGACCTGTTGTTTGTTTTTTGTTTTTTAAGATTTTACTTATTTTAGAGAGAGTGAACGACCTGGGAGTAGGGGAGGAGCAGAGAGAGAGAATCTGAAACAGACTCCCCACTGAGCACGGAGCCCAACGGGGGCTTGATCTCATGACCATGAGATCATGACTGGAGCTGCAATCAAGAGTCAGACGCTCAACCGACTGAGCCACCCAGGCGCCCCCTTCATGTGCCCATCTACAGTTTGTTTTCTTACACTCGTTTCCCCTAGCATTAACATGGGTCTGGTTATTTGTGAATACTTCCTACACTTCTTGAATGAGCCACTGTTCCTGCCCTCAGGGAGCTCACAGTTGATGGGAAGGGTGGACCCCGACGACTACCGAGGTCAGCAGCTTGCTGAGCACGCATCCTCTTTGCAAATTGGACATTCCAGCTCAGAGCTCAGTTATCCTTGGAGCTGATGTGAATGACGTTTCTGTGTTCCTAATTTTGGTGTTCTTATCCTTGACATCAGAGTCAAAGCTTGATGTGGATGCCATAATGAGGTCACATAGGAAACAGGGGGCTCTAGGAGTGGAGGTGGGGTGAGTTAAAAGTGCAGAGGCTCCTCTCTAAAGATGTCCTGTCTGAAAAACAGCTCACCAGTTTCTATGGGTGCCTTCAGTCTCTCTTTTATATATCAGTTATATATGTTTATTATATTTACATGTATATTATATGTAAATTATCTATAAATGTTTTCTATAAATATAATTCTAGCAAAAACAGCCATTTATTTTAAACTTGCACAGTGTTCTGGATGACATGGAGATTTTTTTGTGAGGATGCATCTGGAATGGTAATACCTTATACACGGGGTCTGCCTAAATTGCTTTCTCTAAATTGGTGCTATCATACGTTCTTTTCCCTTATCAGTCTCAAAACAAAAGCTCTGGACTTTTGCCCATCTCGTGGGGCTGAGCTCAGCTCTGGGAAATTTCCTGAAGTTGAGGAAGAAAAGAAAAAGAAGCAGTACTTGGCAGCCCCCTGACAAGCCTAGAAGCACCGCTGAGACACCAGACGCAAAGTCACCTTTAGAAAGACTCCGTTACAGTGTGCACCAGGGGCAGATCACTTCCATCCACTCCCCTGTTCCCTCCGCACCCCCTTCGAGCCAGGCAGGCCTCTCTAGCATGGTCCTGGGTGGCACAGCCCTTCCTGGGAACCTGAGCTGTTGGTTCACTTCATCAAGTATCCATCACCTGTTTGTGTGATGGTGGTCAAAAAGTTCTGGAAGGCGTTCCTCCACCTCCAGTCCGCAGTTCGTGCTCAGGTACCTGTCTGGAGTACACCAAAGAGCGCTCGAAGGATGGACTGGCACACGGTACCATTACACTAGTGAGAAACCCAGATAACCCAAGGTTTATCAGTGGAGGTACAGCTACGTAAGGGACAGTGCGTCCTTACAAAGGAATGTTACGCAGCAGCTTAAAAGAGTGAAGCAGATCTATGTGACTGACGTAGGATAATCTCCAAGATATGGTGAAGTCATAAACAGCAAGTTTCAGAACAGCATGCTAACCCACAAAACTCCATATTGTTTCTAGACTGAAGTGTGGGGGGAAGGCAGGGAGTTGCATCTCTGCGTGTATGTGAACGCGCTAAGTCAAGTCAAAGTGCTGACAGTAGTTACTTCTGGGAGAGAAATAGGATTAGGGAGCAGTCTGTCATTTCCTGTATTTTTTTTTTTTTTTTTTAATGAAAACACCCATATATTCAGCAGTATTTAGAAAGCGGAGGGGGAGCATGGCGTGAGTGTGTGAGTTTGTGTTTTGAGGTAAAATATACTTGAAGACTGGTTCTGAAGACTGTCCCTTTGGTCGGCAACCATTGCTGAGATCACCGTGGCACTGACACTGTGCATGAGGCGCCTTCTCCCCCCCACACAAGTGCACACGTGCATGCACGCACACGCCTAAGCATGGTAGGAGAACCATGGTGCGGCGCCTCAGTAACCGGATGTGGACAAAGCTGTACGATCCCGATCCACCCCATGTTCACAACGTGCCTGCATCCCAGGCCAGCCTCCTAAAGTGAGTTGTTTTGCCTTCTGCTTTTCTTCTTCTTCTTCTTTTTTTTTTTAACAGAGAAGGTTCCAGCTGAATCGCAACCTGAACTGGGCACCTGGGGAGATGGCAAAGGTGACGATGAATTATCTCCAGAAGAAATACAAATGGTAAGGCTGTTCTCTGCCCAGTGAGGTGTTGTAACTGGTGTTAGTTAGGAGGTCATCCTAAATGCCCTTGCTCTGTTATACCAGGTTTTAAAAATTATAAATAAATATTTTAGATACAATTTTTCCACTTGATTTCCTAATTCTTAATGTGCTTTTCATAAGTTTTAAATTTGCAGTAGCATAATTGAAGAAGAAATTGCCTTGGAATAATTTTACTAATATTAGATTTCTTTTCAGCTGCAGTAAAATAGTCCTCCAGACTAAATGGGTCTTTTATAATTACTGCTGTGGTGCTTTTTAATTGTTTGAATTGCTGGTGTTATGCTAATGTGGAGAAAGCATAAGTAATGACTGAAAAATGAAGAGTAACACCTTAACTGCTAAGTCCTAGTTGTCAGTTGTAGGCTGTCCTCTCTGGGTGAGTTTCAAAAGGAAACTAATAGTTCTGGCACGAGCGCCTGCCAGCTCATTTACTGCAGTGTCTGTATACACTTTGGACGTTGGTGTGATCGAGCCAAATGGAATCTGCCTTCCTGGGGCGGGGAGCAGGTGTTTCCTAGCGCGGCCCTGGCGAAACACTGTCCTCTGCCTACCGACCTGGGAACCCGGGTCCCACTTGGCGCATTTCATTGGCTATCCCTGACAAGTGACAACACCTTAGCTTGTGCAGCAGTTGACAGGGGACGGAACTTTGCTGGGATTATCTTCACCGTGATCCTCTTAACAGTCAGGCTCAGAGGTGGTGGCGCATCACCATCTCCTGTTAACTTGGGCAAAAAGCGGTAAAGTGGCCCAAAGTGCTCTAGTTAACAAGTGGTAGAGGTTACTAATCCTCAGTTCCCCGATTCCTAACCTAAAGCTCCTGTTCCAGAAGAGACGTAGTAGAGCTCTGAGCCAAAAGCTCTGTCAAGTAAGAAAGGGATCCAGTCTCATCCCGGCCTTGAGCCTCTTGGACTGAGGCGTCTGTGTTGCCAGGCTCTTTCTTTCCACTTGTTGTCTTCATACCTTGCAGGTCTCAACTGTCGTGTTCTCAGAGACGCCTTCCCGACCACCCAGCCTGCAGAGGCCCCCAGCCACTCTGTCCCTGTACCCCACTTTATTCCTTATCCCTCCACGAGAGCAGGAACTTGTCTGTTTTTGTGGCCATATTCCCAGAGCCTAGAATGGTGTTCGAACGATGAGCGCCTTTGATGAGTGTCATAGGCAGGATCATCAGTAAGCATTACTAGAACATTCTCACTTCAAGTTATTACTGCTATTATGTATACTCATGAATGTCCCCTATATGCCAGGCCTTTTACATATGTTGTCTTATTTAATCTTTTTAACGGTCCAGTGAAGCAGGAATATCCCTCTGTACATTTGGAAAAAATAAGGCACCAAACCTCTAAAGCCCTCCAAGGTCGCAGGGCCAGTAGAGCCAAGCCACGTCCTGTGGCCTGAGCCCTGGCTGCAAACCCTGCACTCTTCCCTGTATCACAGTTCACTGGAGCCCCTGAGGGGATCTGGTGGTCTAAGGGAGTGTAGCCGGTATTGGAGCCGTGTGGCAAACTGACACGGGCATCTTCCCGGGGTCCACTGAGCAGTGGCACATGCGCGGGTCTGCAGGCGGGTCCCCGCGAGGGTGGCCAGGTGCGCGGGTCCTCTCTCTTGAACAGCAGCTTTCAGGGGCAGAGCGCTGACTCAGAATCTTCCTGCTCTCCAGACTTGCTGTTTCTTCTCCGAGCCAGACCCACGGTGGGGCTCATGACTGAGTGAGCCAACCAGGAGGGTCATGCGTCAAGTGCCAGGCACCCAGCAAATGCTCACACAGTCCCCCAGCCTTCCCCCCTCGGAGTGGCAGCACACCTGTCTGCTGCATGGGCTGGAAGAGACCAGCCAGGGCACAGACGCTCGGGTCACAGCTGCACGTGTGCAGAGGGGACTGAGGTGTGCCTGCCACACTCAAAGCAGCATCAAGGGGTCACGCGGGTGGGAACTGCAGCTCAGTGGAGTTTCATATGTATTTTATACACAACATGGTTTGACAAACATTTACTCCCCCCCAGACGAGTGGTTCCTCTTTAAAATCAGCCCCTTAGAAGCGCAAAACTGATCGCACTGATAGTCCTGTTAGCCGTGACTTGCCTAGGACTTGCTTTGGGGACACCCTCAGAGCCTGTGGTATATGCTTTGGAATAATCAGCAGAGCTGTCTTTGTTTTTTACAGGCAAAAATAATTCTGAGTTTAAGGGACTAAGTCAACTTTACGTGGCTTGCCAGGCCCCCGCCTTCCTCCAGATTCTCCCAGGTTCCAGGATGTACCCTCTGACTTTGAGTAGGTGCTCCGTGCCCCGCAGGCCCAGCAGACGTGGGAGCCAGAAGCCTCAAATGTGGAGGGTGGCTAAGGAAAGACAGCAGTGTGGATACCAGTGAGTCAGGAGGTGACGAGGGGTTGGTCAGGGTGCAGCTGTGGAGGCGGAGATGAGAGAGGTGCGGGGTAGTGGCCTGGACTGGGAGGAGGAGCCTGGAGCTTTCTGACTTGGGAAAAAGTGCTGGCAGTCAGAAGGGAGAGCAGGCTGGGCGGGGCAGGGGATGCCGAATTTCATTTTAGACAGGTGTGTGTTTGGGGCGCCTCTGGGACATCCCTGGGAAGTGTTTGGTGGGCAGTGGGATTTGAGGCTCAGGCCAGAGACGTGAATATGGGAGACATCCTACTGCTGATGTTTGAAACAGTTCATCCCAGGGAGAGCGGAGCGAGGCAAAGGACATCGCCCTGGGGATGCTCCGCAGGCAGGCAGACTGAGGCAGGGGAGCCAGCCAATGGAAGGGAAGGACAGTTAGATCATACTCCCTTCTTCTATAGCCAGATGATGGCAGAAGTTTCTTAAAATCTCAGTTTCTCTTCAGTTTGTACAGAATTTTATTAATGAAAATAATGATTTCACGTTCCCCCAAATAATGTAACAGGACCTGCATTTCTTTGCTGGAGAAAAAATATGCATAGCTCCATCTCTTGAATGATTTGTACATAAGCAGAATTTACTTTCTGTTTAAGGCTTTTTTCTTTCCTTTTATACACTTCATAAGTGAAGTAGCTAGGGTAAGAGTCAGTTGTTTGCCAGAGAAGTTTCCCTTTCTCCTGTGGGTAGTGGTGAGCAGCAGAAGTTTGTTAACCTTTGCTGATGCATGACCTTTAGAAGCCTCTAGATGAATGCTGGGGTGGACCAGAGGAAGGCTGGCAGCCAGGATGTCTGTAATCTACTGATGCCCCGTCCCAGTGAGAGATGATGAAAGTGCGTGGGCTTGGAGACTCGACAGAGTCAGTTACAAATCTTTATATCACTTACTGTCTGTGTAATTTGGGGCAAGAAAATTAGCTTCAGTGAACTTGAGTGTGGCAAAAATCATCACCCCACAGAACTGTTGGGAATGCAGTAGCTTGTGGAAGAGTACCCAGCAGCGCGCAGGGCCCATGGGAGCTGCTCAGCCGGTGTCAGCCCCCGTGCACATCCACACTCACGGCACATCTCTGGAACGGGATTTAGCCAATGGAGAGGAAGAATAAGGATTCCCGTCATTAGGCTTTTCTGTGCCTGATGACTGCTGATGCCCCGTGGCTTCCACTTCCTGGTCCCGTACTGAGTCACTGTCTGTAAACATGCTACTGACCATTCCCAATAATGCTAGTTATTTCAGGGTCCCAGTACCAGTGAATGAAGCCATCGGAACCGGCAAGACCTCCCTAATTTGTATTGTGTTCCTGCAAGTGGATTGGGCAGCAGGATATGATGTTCAGAACTTTGATGGCCGCCTATTTAATGTTCAGTTAACCTCTTAATTGGAAATGATAGCTAAGTTCCATATCTAACAGTTTGGCCAACCCAAATCTTACTTAACAGGCTCAACCCTGAACATGAAGAGAAGGAAGCAGGGCACTATTAGTTTTAAATTGGAAAGGGTTTGTAGCAAATTTTGGTCATAATTCATAATCCCTGTTTTGGAATTTTTCCTCAGGGTAAAATAATGAATTAAGCCCTATAATATCAATTTAATTCATTATTTCACCCATAGGAGCAGTTGTTACATGTTCCAAAATGGTTGCAGAGTGTTACATGATTTGCACAGTAAATTTCCATTTATAACCCATGATGCAGGTATATTAACATTTGCATTAATATAAGCAGATGTTTTGTGGTCAGGCCGAGTGAAACCAAATTGTTTTCTGATGTTACATAGAGAAAATACCTCCTTTTCTAGGCCTGCATTCATTTTACTTGCCTCAAGTGAAACCACCTGCATGTATTGATGTATTCCTTAGCATAATTTTTAAAGATGTGCATATGACTTCTGTTCTTAAACCTACATGAAAGGTGTCCCTAGCCCCTGTCCCCTGTGGTAGCCCCTGGAAGCACCAGGTGCCTGGCTGGCAAGGCTTTCGATCTGTGGCCACGCTCATTGCAAGAGTTGTTGGTAGAATCTGGGCTCCACACGGCTGAGGGCTGAGGTCCACACCCTGGGGAGGTTTCAGGTCCACGGGGGCAGATGTGTGAGGAGGGAGGTGAGGGTCACAGAGCCCCGAGTATGAAGCTGTTGGGCACAGATAAATCACACCTGAAGACCCCCGAGAGGTCCTGGGCCAGGGGGGCAGACTGCTTTCTAGGCTGAGCCCATGTGGGTTCATAGTCTTCAGTTCAGTTAGCTGCTCTTGCGTCTTTGCAACGCAAATAACCTCTTCTGGCCTCATTTTATGCTCAAAGGCCTTTGTAGGAGTGATTTTCTTTTTAAAACTATAGTAAAGAGGATTAGATTAGAAAAGGATTTCTGTGACAATGTATTCACAATGTGGATTTGCATCCTTTAAACCAGATTATAAACCCTTTTGGGGCCCCCTATTTGGAAGTCTGACTTCTAAATGGAATAAAGCCGTTAAATAATACTGCCTAACACGCATGTAACACACACCACATGCCAAGTACTGCTCTGAGCACTTCAGCATTTATTAATGTGTGCCACCCCGTGTGGTGGGGACTGTTGCAGGCCCCATTTTATGGAGAGCTCCCAAGTCCTAGACCTTTAGATGTGGTGCCTACCACTGTGGTTTAGGGGTCGGGGGAGGCTGCTGGGGGCATCGTGTCTGTGCTGAGAGCAGACAGTATGGGGTGGAAGGGGCCATGGCAGGAGGCCCACAAAGACAGTCTGGCCACTCTCGTGCCTCTCGGACCCCTCTTGTCCACCTTACCCATCATGCAGGCCGCCCGTCCCCCTTTCCAGTGCCTCACAGAGATGGGTGACGTGTATCTTAGACCAGGTGGGTGTGCCTTCCCCAGGGGCCTGTGGGTACCCCTGTCCTTGGTGCTGACCATGGAGCCCAGGCCCTGTGCCTTGTGAAGTCCCTGTCCCTGTGGGGGACAGATGTTGTGTGAGCGTTTCTCATGCTGGAGAGAGAGAGATGACCGGGAGACACGGCGGCCCTCTAAAGTTTGAAACCAGAGAGGTGGAAGGGGCCTTCAGAGCATTTCATGACTCATTTTGCATATCTGGAATCTCACTCCCAGAGAGATTAATAATAACAATTAGCACTTAGTGAGGGCTTCCTGTGTGCCATGCATTTTGTAAGCAACTTATATGTATTAGCACATCTTAACAACTGCTAATTAAGTACTATTATCATCCCATTTTCGTGACGAAGACAGAGGCACAGGAAAGTTATCTGCCCAAAGGCATACAGCTTAGAGGGTAGAGGAGCCATCCCTCCCCACCCTCGCATCCTCACCACCCCTGTTCACAAGGAGGCCCTGTCACATGACTGGCCAGACAGAAGCCAGTGACTGGTCCAGGGTCATCCAAGGAGTTGCCACGAGGCCACAGGGGCTGGCTCACTGAAGTCCCAAGCACGTCCACCGCCTGCCCCTGCTGGCCGGCATTTGTCGCTCCCTGTCTTATCAGCAGATGAGACGTGAGGTATACGGGTTTGCCACCGCGACAGCATCAGAAACCACCCTGAGATCTGGTGCAAGTGAATGTTGTCAGCAGCCTGACCAGTACCCGATCTACCCGAGCCCTGCCAGGTCTCATGAAGTGACTACCTTGCACTTGGCTGTGGGAAACAGGTTTTGTTGTTTCTGGAAACACGGTGTCATTGTAACTCCCACCCCCATATGGAGGCCGCTTTCCATGAAGATCTTGGCCTCGGCAAACCTCTCTCCGCAGCCCTATGGCTGCTTGATTCCTTGAGGCATTTGTTTCTCTCACTTCCTCCAGGGACTGGGTACTTCTCGGTGGCCTTAAGAATCCAGGGACTGAAAGGAAATCAGAGCCAGAGTCCAGTCCCACTCCTGACTGCTGCTGACAGGAGTCCTGCAGAAGTAACAGCTACCCAGAGGCCTTAAAGGAGGTGCGGCGGGGGCCACGTGCCCTGGATTTGGGGAGGAAACAGAGCTTTGTTCCCAGGGGACATTCCAGTAATAATAAACTACCTCCAACCCCTACTTAATCTTGCTTAGGAACAGTTTAAAAAGCATAAAAGGGCTGAGGATTTAAAAGGACAGGGCCATATTTTGTCGTTAGAAAAATAAGAAAATGCCCCCTGCAAAAATAAGTAAATAAAAAAACCCTGAGTAGAGGGGCGCCTGGGTGGCTCAGTTGGTTAAGCGACTGCCTTCGGCTCAGGTCATGATCCTGGAGTCCCAGGATCGAGCCCCACATCGGGCTCCCTGTTCACCAGGGAGTCTTCTTCTCCCTCTGACCCTCCCTGCTCTCCTCGTGTTCTCTCTCTCATTCTCTGTCTCTCTCTCAAATAAATAAATAAAATCTTTAAAAAAAAAAAAAAAAAAACCCTGAGTAGTACCTGTGAGAATTCTTGAAAGTAAATTAGTACCTACATGCTAAGTAATTGTAGTTTTCCTTAAATACTGGACTTTTTTTTTTTTTTTTTAAGATTTTATTTATTTGACAGACAGCGAGAGCAAGAACACAAGCAGGGGGAGCGGGAGAGGGAGAGGCAGGCTTCCCGAAGAGCAGGGAGCTCGATGCGGGGCTTGATCCCAGGACCCCGGGATCATGACCTGAGCCGAAGGCAGACGCTTAATGACTGAGCCACCCAGGTGCCCCAAATCCTGGACTCTTAAGTAACTGTTAACAGAGCTGATACCTTCAAACTCTAAAGTGAAGCTATTATTCCCTTAAACAGCCTGCTCCATGCATAATGAGAAGGGCCGTCTGGGTACCGTGTGGGCAGCCAGCAAGGCAGCCCACCGCCGGGGGCTGGGGCAGCCCTTCAGACGCTTCCCCAGCACATCTGCCCCTCTGCAAGCTGTGCTCGCCCCCCCAACCCCAGTCTTCTGACCCAGTGGGCCTGGGGTCTCGGAGTGGAGGTGTCTTTGTGTGTGGACCAGCAGCAGGGCTGGGGACTGGTGCCCTGGAGCGTGTCAGGCCCTGCCCTGCGCTGGGGGCGGCCAGAGGGGAAGGCCCCACCCCAGGAGAGAAGATGCCCCAATAGGGGCGAGAAATGTAGCGATGGGCCAAGTGCAGAGGAGCTTTTTACAAGAGGAGATGGAGGAAGGTGATTAATTCTGCCTGATGTCTCTGGTCACTAGGAAGGTGCCGAGGCCGGCTCCCAAGGGACCATCAGCCCTCAGCTAGCCTGTGCCGAGGGGGGTGGCAAGCTCCAGGAGAAGGCCGCACCTCTGCGCTGATCTGCAGGGCCACGGGACGGGGCTGGTGTGGTGCGGTGTGATGTGACCGGCGTCTTAGATCGCGCTGACCGAGGACTGGGGGACAGACTGGAAGAGACTGAAAGATGATGAGGGCAGAGCTTAGGTGCCAGGGAAGGGGTGGGTGCAGCAAGGGTGTGGCCACAGGACGGAGGGCACCCATGGAGGGCGGGGGGACGAGAGAGGAGGGCCCCCAACCATGTCCAGTGAGTGGGGGTGAGCGAGGCCCAGGGGGGGACGGGGAAGCGCGGGGCGGGGAGGCGTAGCAAGGGGGCAGGGTGGGCAGGTGCGGAGCTGAGGGAGCACAGCTCCTTCCCTCCCCGTGAAGTGGGAGCCAGATGGGACGGCGGGGAGACTGTGGGTCCTTGCGTGTGACATGCTCAGCACGGCCTTGGTGACCCTCGTGACTTCCACAAGCATTTTCTCTCCCCTCCACTGTTTTACTGGGCCAGGGGTAGCCGGGTCTTCAGTCGGACGGCAAAGCCTCCGCATGGCAAGAGCTTGCTTCCATTTGCTCCCCCACGCAGCGCCTGGCACGGACAGTGTCTCCGAAAGTAGCTGTGGACGTAGCTGCAGCTTTAACAGATGTGAAAGGAAGAACGGGTGTGCGGTCCTTTCTGAGTCGGGTTTGACGTGGTTCCCGCCCTCAGGCAGCTCAGAGTCACACGGGGCGTTTGGGACATGCACAGCTTATGACAGGGCCTAAGACCTCCTAAGAGACGTTTGGAAGGTGCTAGGCCAAGGTTAGAAAAATGAGAAACAGCTTCAAGCTCAGGGGCCTGGGATAGGTCACGGAGGAGGTGGCCTTGGAACCGGGTCTGTGGGACGTGGGCGAGGAGCTGTGGGTTGAGTGGGCATGCGAAGGCAGGGTGCTTGGTCCTGTAGGTCGGGGGGAGGAGATCGTCTGGCCCCACACCATGGCGAAGCTTCAGACACGCCATCCTTTTGTTGGGCCAGAGTCAAGTCGGCAAGAAGGGTCGGGAGAGCAGCTGTCTGCTCCGTAGTCACCTGGGCTCTGACGAGCTCCCACGTGTCAGGGTGGCATCTCACCCAGACTGAGTCCCGAAGCCTGGTGGCCAGCCTGAGCCCCGGCAGGACAGCTCCTCTGGCTCCCGGGCCCATGCTCCTGTGGGAGCAGGCTGGCCAAGCGTGGCTCCCAGCCAAGCTGCTGGGCCTCACTGCTCCACTTACAACGGACAGGCCCCGAGGCTGGCAGCTCAGGCCCGTGGGAGCTGGAAGGGAGCACGGGGGCAGGATGACAAGGCCCCCTGCGCCTCCGTGGCTCCCCTTCGCGGGCAGCAGGGCGGCTTGCGGGTGGGGACAGGTCCAGGCACAGGGACGTTGTCACGCTGACGCCGGAAGGAGGGACTCAGTGGCGATCCTTAGCAGGCAGATCAAAGATCTCTGTGCAGGTGCCTTGCTAGGCGCTTGCCTTTGGCTGTGTTGTTTTGAGTATGACATCACCCTTAATGTGTTTCCTTGCAGTTTGAACAAGAAAACCAGCGCCTAATCGGTGAAATGAACAGCCTGTTTGATGAAGTGAGGTGTGTATGTGGTTCCTCTGGGCTGGTGGCCTGTGTGATAGCTTTCCCAGAAACTGGGAACTTGACTAACTTTGGGGCCCCGGCATCCACTTGTGGCCCTGGCCACATGCACCCCCCCCATCTTGAGCCATTTGGGGGTCAAGGCAGCTGCCCAACTTTACTGACTCCCCTCAGCTTGTGGGCCCATGGGAGGTCCCCCCCATGTGCTGTTCCCAGTGACTGCAAATTGCACCTCATGACTCCCTGGTGAGATGGGGGCTTTGTGAAGAACTGCTGGCCGGGGCAGCCTCCTGCACTTGGCTCTGCCAGGGTCTCTCTGTTCCCGCAGCAAAGGGGTCGGCTGCACCGAAGGCAGGTGGCTGTGTTCGCCCACGTGAACCATCGCTGGCTGGTCCTCTAGGGGAAGCACTTGGGGCCTACTTCCCTGAGAATGTTTGAACCATCTGAACGGGAAGCCTGGGATTTTGCAGGGCACAGAAACCCTCCTGCACTGGGGGCTCATCCCAAAAGAAAACGCATCCCGGCGCTGTACCCACAGAGCCCTGGGGACTCCGCCTGCAGGCGTTTCCCTCTGACAGCTCCCGTGCTCTTCTGTGGCCTTCGCTCTTCTTCTGTGGTCCTTGCTCCGAGACCCCACCCTCGTCGTCCCTGGCCCCATCCGCCTCGCTCTCCCTTCCCGCGCCTAGAAGCTCTGGGAGGAGTGGCCACCTCCTGCCCTTAAGAGCAAGCCTCCTGGGCTGGGAGCTCAGCCGTCCCCAATTCTAGACCTACTCTAGCCCCCAGCCCACCCCCAGGGGCACCCTTGCTGGCCCTGAAACAGGGAGAAGCTCAGACACTTGACTGCTGAACCCAGACATATTTTTCAGATGGAATCAGGGTTTTTCCTTTCAACAGGAAGTCGGTTTGAGTGGCAAATTCGCTCTCCTTCAACCTACTGAGTAGTAACAAAGTTGAGTTGTCAGCACATTCTGGTGTTTTCTTTCGAATCCCCACCATGTTACTGTGGTTACTAGGCAGGGGCACAGTGGGTCAGCTTATAGGGGAGGGCAGGTTTCTAAATTGTAGTACACCACCCCAAGCTGAGAGACTTTAAAGGAGAGCCAGGAAATAAAATGTCTATCTCCTTTCCTGAGCCCAACATGGTGCCCCCTCCCTCTCTCACAGATGACATGGTGTCCCTCTCCCTCTCTGGAGGCTGTGGTGGTGTCCCCTCCATTTCTCACTTAGACGGTCCCTTTAGAAATGTGTAGCATTCTTGTTAGGACTACCAAGTACTAATGGTTGTCTGTGACGTCTTTTTTTTTTTTTTAATGAAGGCAAATCGAAGGGAGAGTGGTTGAAATTTCCAGACTCCAAGAGATATTCACAGAGAAGGTTTTACAACAGGTAAGAAAGAAGAAAAATTATCGTTTAAAGTTTTAGCTTAAAAGAATATACTATGAAGTCCGGATATTTCTTGTGAGGTTGCCTGATCTCTGCAGCCGAGCATCCAGAGCCGTGTGCTTTGGCCAGTGGACACTCAGAGGGCTCCTCAGGGGAGGTCCTCTCGTGCCCTGGTGCAGCCGCTGTGCGTGGCGGGGAGCTCTCTGCTCTGGACCCACTGGCCGGCCCAGGCCAGACCGAGTGCCCACCCCGGGCATGCAGTGGAACACATGGTGAAAGGAGTCAGGTAGATCTTCGTTCTGGACGCCCTCGGGTAACCACGGTAGCCTCCCAGCTACAGTTTGCCTGTCTATAAAATGGAGTGACCCTTGCAGGGCCATTGTAAGGCTCAGAGATAACCCACAGGAAGCATCCGGCACAACGCCTGCTGGGTGGTAGCCTCTCAGTGGACCTTGACGAGAGCCCAGACTTGGCCCTCTCCGAATGCCAGGTCCGTGCCCTCAGCTGTCACGTGCACACAGCAAACAGGATTGTTCCCATAAGAGGATTTTCATGTTACTTGTACCTGCCTCTCCTGCTAAAATTCCTCCAGCCAGTAACTGGCAAAACCGTTACAGACCTGATCAATTTGTCCTTTTGTTTGTAGCATACGCAGACCGTGGAAGGGTTTCAAAGACAGAATCATTGGCTCCGTTGTATGAAACTGGGCTAGTTGGCTTAAGATACCCCACTCACAAAACCTGCCCTAAACCTCACAGCCATGAAGCCTAACAGTTCGGGAGTTCAGGTTCGTAAGAGCTGTCCTTTTTAATAGCACACTGAAGGAACTCTTCACTTAGAAGCGTCCTGACACCTAAAACAGCGAAGTCAGCGGTCCGTGTCGGAGCACACGCCTTGTTTCTAGAGGCAGCTGGGCATGGGAGGAGAGCTCAGAGGCCAGGCAGGGTCAGACGGACTGGCTCCGACCCGGGGTGCCCTCCACGGCATGGGGCAGCTGTTCCCTGCCTCGCTCTCGGAGCTGGAGTTAGAGGTACCTGACCCACGCCTGGCTCATGGCAGCCTCTCAGTACGTGGGAGCTAATGTTTGTACATTTTAGCCTTTTTTTCTCTGGCATGTGTTTTAGAGCACATGCGTGTGGAAGCTTACGTCTCTGGACGTCATAAAGAGTAGAGACCAGAGGGGAAGCCCGTGGCCTGTGGTGGCTACTGTGTAGTCGGCAGCTCTCGTGTTTGTCCCTTCCTGCCCGGCAAGTGGCACCACAGGTTGCAGCTGGGGGTGGAAGGGGCACAGGCCCTGGGTTCCAGTCCTGGTCCTGCCGCCTGGTTGCTGTGTGACTTCGGGCAAGTTACCAAACTTCTCTGAACCCTGAGTTTCCCTTTTGCAAAATGGGGTTGCTGCCTACCCCTCGGGGCGCCGTGAGGACTCACGGGCTCATACTTGTAAAGTCCCGGCCCTTCGTAAGTGGCAGCTGGTGGCTTCTGGTGTCTGTATGCTTGGGGAAGGAGACAGAGATTGGGTCTACCTGTCACTCTCCTTCCCCAGGAAGCCGAGATCGACAGCATTCACCAGTTAGTTGTCGGAGCAACCGAGAATATCAAGGAGGGTAATGAAGACATCAGAGAGGTGAGAACTCTCAGGCCCCCCAGGCCTCCCCAGTGTGGCACCGAGTCTGGGCGGCTGCGGTCGTCATGCTGGGAGCGCCGCCTGAGCGCCTTGCTGGGGCCCAGCCCCCAGGGCTCACCTCCTGACGGCGCCGGACGGTCCCATTTCCACCCCCGACAAACCCCGGGGCCTCTGCCGTTACCAAGAGCTATGACTCACCGGCCTCCAGAGGAGCGATTTGAGGCACATGAGGTCACTGTTGGCAAGGGCTGGACCAGCTCCCTCAGTCCAGGGGTGGGTGCCACTGGAGAAGTTTGTTGAACGCCCCCACCCCACCCCGAGGGCCAGAGCCTGGTCCCTGTTTTTTGGGGCCACAACAGTGGACTCTGTTGAGCAGACTGTCCTCTGAGCGTGGTGCTCTGGCTGGGTTGATGGGCCACCACTGCCACTGGACTGCTGGGGGACCATGGCCGGCTGGCCGTGGCGCTCTAGGTCCGTGTGTGTGGCTTTAACCCTGGGACACACGTGGGCCGTTTCTGGGTGTTTCCTGGGAGAAAGGTGCAGGATCTCTGAGTTAAGGGCCAGCGAGGAAGGGAAATACCTGTTTGTTTGCTGATGGATTCTAAAGCCACTCTATGGTCCTGCCGAATGATTACGGTAAGCAAAGGCCCCAGCAGTATACCTACAGCCCAGCGGAGGGAGAGTGCATGCGGACAGGTGGCGCACTCGAGGGCTTTTGAAAGCAAAAATCCCTGGTGACGCAAATCCCTGAGCTACTGCCCCCCTCCCCCGCCCCGCCCCAGGCCATTAAAAACAACGCCGGCTTCCGCGTGTGGGTCCTCTTCTTCCTGGTGATGTGCTCCTTCTCCCTGCTCTTCCTGGACTGGTACGACGGCTAGCCTGTCCTCGCTGCTCCTGGCAGACGGCGCGCCGTCGAGGGTCTCCGGCAGCGGAGCGGGGCTGCGAGCAGATTGTATCATCAGCCGTTTGGGGGGGAGGGGGCTGGGACAGACGGACACTCTCACGAAGGGACACCCAGACCTGTGGTTTTAAGCCCATTTGGTAGCTGAGAAAGAAAATAATGAACACAAACAGAAAGGGGCCTGTGTAGCAATCCTGACACAAGGTGGGTGAGGTGGGGGTGGGGGTGGTTCCCGGCTGCACCTACACCGGAGACCATGTGGAGGGGCTGCCTGGAGGCCGGGCTCAGGGAGGCTCCCGCCTTGCCCTTCTGGTGGCTTCGGGAAAAGCGCTGGCTAGTAACTTGACAACAATGATCATTTCTTTGTTTCCTGTGGCGTCTTGTCTGCCTGAGCCCTGTGATAGTCACCATATTCTAGAAAACGCACCTTTGCCCTGTTAATGTCATAAATGCGACTAGAGCTCCTTCGTGTCCTGTCAGCGGGTCCGAGCATAGACGTGCAGCGGACACCTGCCTGCCGGGTAGGGAAGAAGTGTGGGGACAGACTCTGGGTACTTGGCAAGGGGCCCCTGGGGCCCAAGGAGCTTTTGTCCAGAGCGGGAACCTGGCCTGCGGCTCCTGGACCTGTGCGCCTGACCGTCGAGGAAACAAACGGGAACGCCTGTTTGCAGTGGGAAGCCGGAGACTTCTGGAGCCACGTCTGTGCAGAAAGCACGTGGGTGTTTGTGGGCCCGCACCCCCGTGTGCGTGCGGATGGCTCCCCCGTGTGCGGTACGAGTCTGTCATGCAGCCGCGGGGTTCCTTGTGTGCCCAGTGAAAGTGTCAGAAGTTAACCTGCGAGTGAATTTACATCAATAAAATGTCTACTAGACGCCCAGAGGGGTGTGTTGCCTTAGTGGGGCATGTCCGCGGGCCTGGCCGCGCTCACAGATGTACGGTCCCTGCTCGCCGGGCGTCCTTGTGGCCTTCACTGCACGCAGCTCAGGCACGCTCCCCTCGCCCCCCCCACCCCTCCCCACCCCTCCCCGGCTCCGAGCCCACGGTCATGGTTTCAGAACACCTTTGATAATAAAATCGGGTTTGGGAAGCAGTAACGGAGTCGGCCGTGACCACCAGGCTTGTTTGCAACAGATCTTGCACTAGTTGTCATTTATTTTTGATCTACTAAAAAACAGTGAAACTTTTGACATGTCCACCAGAAACAACACATTCAAATAACATGGAAGAAAAGGTCTGCGGATGTCTTTTTTCTATTTAATCATCTTACACACTTATCTAACTGGCAATTTTGTAAACATATACTTTAATGTCAAGATTCAGGTTGAAATAGCATTTTCTTACAAAGATTGTGAGTTGAAATGTCATCATTGGGTTTGCAAGTTGCCACACCAGCCCCGCGCAGCCTTTCCTGCCTGCTTCTTACATCAAAGGAGTTCTGGTTCACAAAATAAAAATTAGTCTTGGCTCCCCAGCAATTACATTTTCACTTTTCCAACACAAGTTTTTGAAAACTATCTTGCTAACAGGGCTGTTGGTGCGAATTTATTCGTAACAGAAGAGAACATAAAGACCAAAGGGGTTTCGTTCCTATTCAACACATCACAGAGCAGATGGACTACCCACAGGGGGGACAGCGTCCTGGAGCCCGGGGACCTCGCTTTCCACAGCCCCTCACCTCACTTGCTGGGACACGGTCTGCGTGCGCTGGAGCAAAACACGGGTGCTCTCTGCACCAAGATGCCAACTCCAGTTTGGGGGGAGCTGGAACAGAGCCCCCCGAGTGTGCCTAGCTGCGGGACACTCGCACACTTAGGGATGAGCGCGGGGAAGGAAAGCGCGCTTGCCCCACTTCCTTCCTTCTCTACATCTCTCGCTACCATGCGTCTTGGAGACGGCACTGTTGCTGCCTGACTGAAGGTTGGGAGAAATTCTGAAGTACAGTTTGCTCTTAGCAGAGTGGGTGGGGCTCACTCTAAATATGGCTGTGGAATAAGGACTGCAAACAGCGAGGGTGGGGGGAGGTAAAAAAAAAAAAACCAATTCCACAGAATGCATTATTTATCTGAATCCAAACCCCTTGCGTATCCGATGTAAATTTATTTTTTGATAGCATCCAATAAGTCCCAGTAAAGTAGCTAAATTAAGACTCCTCACGGAAAGTGGTGTCAGAGCTCTTTAAGCAGTGCTGAGATGCACTTGGGCCCGTGGGCGGCTGGCAGCAAGGTTTATTTGCAAAGCGGCATCAGCAGACAAGCAGTTGCACCATAAATGAGCGACCTCTAAATTATCGGGAATTATATTTAATGAAACGTCCCTCCGAGTCCCTTTGTTACCTTCAAGTGACACATCACAAGGAACCTGCCCACCTCACTGGGCCGACTTCTCGGCGGCTTCGGTCTCCTGCTCGGACAGCTTCTCTTCCGACAGAACGGACATCCAGGGTGAGACCGAGCGTGTGATGCTCTGCTTGGCCAGGTTGTAGTGGTTGATGACGGTGTAGAATTTCTCCCGGGCGCTGGAGTCTTGCTCCGAGTAGTAGCTCTCCAAGCCTTCTGGAATGCACTGGGTGTTCTGAAAGATAGAAGAGGCCCCTGAGTCGCGTGCATCAAGGCTGGACGGATGCCAGTGTGGGTCTCCAGGTAACCGCCCCCCCCAGATGTTTACTGAGCACCTTCCTGGGGCGAAGAGGAGAAATACGCTGATGAGCAAAAGCGGGCACGGGTCCTGGCCTTGGCACAGCCCAGGGACCACCCGACAGCGATTTACGTCATGACAGGGCTGACCTCTCTAACACAGCGGTGCTCGGGCTCGGGGGGCGTGTGTGTAACAGGACAGTGGCCTTCCTGCTTCACTGAAGAGCTTACGCTAGTTGTCATTTATTTTACATCTACTAGAAACCACATACTCCAATAGTGAAGGGAAGGAAGTCAGAAAGGCCTCCTGGGAGCTAGGTTTTGTAGTAGGCCTGATCCGGGGCGGGGCGGGGGGCGGGGGGCAGAGGCAGGGCAGGCCGGCCTCACAGACAGTGAGCGGCACGGGGAACACACTGGGAAGGGTGGCCTGGGTCAGAGAGGCAGCCACACAAGGCCTGCAAGGTCCTGTTAGGGAGCAGTGTGACTTTGTGACCCAGAGAGCAGCAGGACGTCCCCGAGGACCCCAGACAGCATGTTTGCGGGGGGGGGGGGGCGCTATCTCAGGCAGCTGTCCACGAAGGAAGAGGCTCTGTCCCTACAGGCCACAGAACCGTGGGGAGATGAGGGCTGGGGGAGACCAGCCCATAGCTCTCCTCAGCTCACAAAAGGTCTAGGACCGCAAACAGTTAAGACCCTACACCCCAGGCTGCCTTTCCTTATCAATCAGGAGGCAACCTAAGCCCCTGCCCCACCACAGCTGGCGTGGCCGGCCCACACCATAGCTGTGGGGCTCAGCAAGCCCACAGGGGAGGGGGTGCGGCCGTGATCGGCTCCCCCAGCCACCCCCCAGGGCTAGGCAGGCACCTGGCGCCCAGCGCTCCCGGCAGCCGGGTGAGGCCATGGGGCTAACTTCTGGCTGGTGGAACAGGAGTGGAGGTCTGTCCGCTCTCTCCCGCGGCCCTTCCTCGGGTGGCTGACTGCGCAGGGAAGGGTGCTACCCCGGGGGCTGGCAGGGCAGCAGACGACAGAATCGGGGCTCCAGGGTGACCTCACAGAGCCCTGCCGCCTTCCTGCTGGAGCCTTAACGGGACAGAGGTCGCCCTTCCATCTCGTGGAAGCCCCGTTTCCTGTGTCTAAGCAACCAAAGCAACGCACGAATGCCAGCCTCACCATCAGACAGCAAAGGGAGACCGCAGCTAAGACTGGTGCCTGGCCTCGGCCACCTCCACGGTCACCAGGAAGAGCGTCACAGCCCAGATTCTCCGCCCACCCTGAGGGGTCTGACTCAGCACATCTGTGCAGGAGCAATCTGTATACTTAAACAGCCCAGATGATTCTGAGGCTCGGCACACTGAGTGCCGTCTGTCTTGGCTGTGGTCACCCTGCTGGTACACGCACAGCCGGGACCTGTAGCCCAAGCGCCGCCGAGGGCACTCTGACCAACTCCCAGGGCTTAGCAAGAAACCCAGCTGCTCAGAGTGTCCACTTACCTGCCCGGGGCAGGCACCATGTGGACAACATGACAGGACCTCTTAGGACCGCATCTCTGGGCACTGCAGGCCACTGCTAGGATGGCTGGCCACAGCTGCTGCGCCGTGGACGTGGGCCCTGGGAGACCTCAGGGCCAGCCCGGATGCAGCCTGGGTATCTCCCCCAGGAACCTCGCCCCGGCCGGGGCCCAGCTTTTTTTGCTCAATCTCTGAAAGCTAGAGGCGGGTCAGGGGGGCTGCTCCTTGAGGTCTTCCTGTAGATGCGAAGCCCACCTGCCATTTCCCTGGCAGAAGAAAACGGGACTGGGGTTTTTGCCTCCCACACTGCTGTTCTCCTCCTGACCTTCTCTCCGTCCCTGACAGTTTGCCAGATGCTTTCCACGCACGTTCTCTCGCTGTGAGGAAGCTTCCAGCAGTCTGCTTTTATAGATGGCCAAGGAGACCCAGGGAGGGGAGGTAACTCTCCAGTCTGGGCCTCCCGGTGGGAGCGCCCAGAACCACCCCCCCCCCACGCTGTCACCGTGCGAAGCCACCAACAGATGACCCACTCAAACACAAGACAGTGAGAAGCAGAGGCAGTGAGACCCGCCCTGGGGCCCCTGGGGCAGAACCACTGTTTGCCTCGGGCACTGACGGGCTGGGATCCAGGCAGCGAGCCGGCCCGGCTCACGCAGGCCTCAGCACGCAGGCCCCAGGAGCCGGGCGCAGCCCTCAGTTCCCGGCGCACGTGACCAGCTCAGCCTTCAGCACCCTCGCAGGCCAGGGCCATGGTGCTCCTCTGGCAGTGCTCGGGGGGTGGGGGGCACTGCGAGGCCTGCCTGGCAGGGCTGCTGTGACCCAAACCAGGTGAGCGCCATGGCCTACGCGACATCCTCTCGGGCAACAGACTGTTGTCCTCTTCTGAACCCGGAGGCCTCCCCAGCGTGCGGGTCCACGTAGCCTGGCATCTGCCTGGGGTCAAAAGCAGGGACACAGGGCTGAGCACGTGATGTGTGGCGAGACACAAGGCATGACACCCCAGTCACGGAAAAGCTCCTGTGCGCTCAGACGTGGAGGCCCCTCACGATGGAGGTCCCTCTCCCCCCGAGGGTTCTCCCAGGATACCGGCCTCGGGAGTGTCAGCGTGAAGTGACCAGGCGTGGCTGGGGAGCGGCAATCCCACGGGTGGGCTGCCCAGCATGTTCAGAAGCCGTTCGTGCCAGCCCCGTGCCAGGCCCTGGGATGCCAAACACAACAGTCAGGTAAGAAGCCACAGTGCGTCCAGGCTCACACAGCGGACGGGAAAGATCAGAAGCTGTAGGGGCACCACCCAGGGGACGCCTGCGTCTCATCAGCAGCTCGAACCCCGCCGCCTCTGGGCGTCAGGAAGGCGGCCACCTGCTCCCCTGCCAGCGCGGCCACCTGCCCTTCGCGCTGTCCTGCCCTCCTCCGCTCACCAGCATAGGGTCCTGCAAGGCGCTGGGCAGCACGAGACGCCACGCCAGGCCACGACGGGGCCTCCACACCCGACGGAATACCTCCCCCTGCCCTCTGGGGGCCGGGGGCTCCCAGGAAGGTCTGACCCCGCCCCTCTCAGGCCAGAAATCACAGCCCCGTGCCCCTCTGCAGGCGAGTGTGGGGAGGTCACCAGACCTATCCGCCCCTCACTCCCTCAGGACCCAGGGAGGTAACTCAGGCAGGCGGGTTCCCAGCAGCCCCTGGCCCGCGGCCAGCGCTATTAAGTGTGCCTCGTGCACGAGATCCCCGGGGAGAAGGCGTGTCTGCTGACAGTCTACGATGAATACCCAAATGTCAAAAAACGTGGGGTTTGGGTAATTTCCCATTACACTTAAAACCTCTCCATAAGACTCCTATAATTACTGCACGGTTTCAGGACAAAGGCAGAAACATCGCATCCTCCCCAGCCCGTACCTGCCCTCCTAAATCCCCCGGTGACACTCCCGGTTGGGGCGGCCTGCGCCCCCTCACCCACGGCGCAGGCACAGGCGCACGCCTGCCCTCGGGCTCACGCCAGGACCTCTGTGGCACCTGGGTCCATCCGCCCTTCCCACGGGGCCCCTCTCTGGCTCTGGGGGTCAGCAGGACCCCAGCCCAGTCTGGGTCCTCATCCATGCATGCATGCCCAGACCACCCACTGGCTAAACTGACTCCTCAGTCTGCACCCTCAAATGACCCGGAAGAGGTGACCCCAGGCTCTCACAGTCATCCTGGTTTTTTCACTGCCTGGCACTCAGCAGTGTCCACACCATCTGGGCATCTGCCTGTCTGCTTGCCACTTGTCTCCACTAGAACACAGGCCCCAAGGGTAGGGCCTTGACTTCTGTCCGGCGCTGGGAGCCCAGCACCCAGCCGGGGATAGCATAGCGGCACTTAACGCATGCGTGCTAAATAGTCATACCGCAAGGCGTGACCTTGGACACAATGACGGTTGCGTCTGTACTGCGTCTTCCCACGGGTAAATGGGGATCTGACAGTATCTACAGAAGGATTTTGGGAGCATTCACAAATACTAGTGTAAAAGCCTCTGTAAGCTGTCGGGGTCTGCGTGTGACCTGCACCACCTCCAGCTTTAGCCAAGGGCTTTCAGGCACAGACTGGGAGCTCCCCAGTCCTCCCAGCCATGGTTTCCAGGGAGGCCACCTGCCCCCAATTAGACAGAAAGGCCAGTGGAAAATGCCGAAGTCCCAAGAGACGCAGCTACAGAAGATCACTGGACTCCAAATTCCCAAGGCTGGCTGGGCCCCAGGCTCAGCCGTAGAGCCTTCTGAACACAGAGACCTGCCCTCTGCCCTGCAAGGGCTTCCTCTCTCGGACTCCACCTGCCCGGACCAGGTTTTCTAGCAAAATTGGCCTTGCAGGCTGGGTGGTTTTAGCCTGGCCCCCTCCTCCACGCAGGCAGCTTGCCCCGGCCCAGAGAACGAGCCCAGAAGCAAACCCCGGGTCCTCCTGATGGAGCTGCTTGCCCCAGTGGTTTGTGAGCAGTCTGTCCAGGCCCCAGGAGGCTATCTTCTGCACACCCGGTTCCCATCAGGGCACCGCTCCTGCGTCTGCTTTGCTTCCTCTCCATGACATCAGCCGCTCTGCGTCACCGGGCTCTGGACCAGGTCCTCCCCTGCATCTTCCTCCCCTGCATCCCTCCCCCCAGTCACATGGGTGTCCTCTCTCCCTCCCCAGCACCCTGAGCAGGCCAGACCCTTGTCTCTCCCCAGGCTCCCTATAGCAGCCTCCTGGGCCATCACACCAAACCTCCAGCCTCCCAGGGCCACCGAGTGGCCGTCCCATCACTTCCCTCCCCTGGCGGCCGTTGCCTGGCCCGTGACGTCTGCAGAGTCTGGCTCACGTCCAACTGCCCCCAGTCCTCCAGGCCGACCAGACCTGCCCCGCCCTGCGGTCGCCTGCGGCGCCGCTGCTCCCTGAGCCTGCCTGGGTTGGCCCTGCCAGCCTCCACTGTCAGCGAATGGGCTTGCTTGGTCAAGGGCAGCCCTCCCCTCCTCGAAGCCCCCAGGCCCTCTGGGTTGGCCTCCTTTAAACCGTGGTGCCTCCTGAGCTTCCAAGCAGACCATAACCTCTCCCAGCCCATCCGGAGGGTGGATGGGTTCGTTGAAGACGAGGGGGTGTCCCCCAGGTCCCCGCACAGCTCTCTCACTGGCCTCCTATGAGCGTTGCTCAAACATGACCGTCCTTCTAGAACCTGCTTTGCTCTCCTGTTTTCCAGTGCTTATAACCTAACGGTACGACTGACTTCATGTTTCTTTTGAGAATAGCAGGGAGCGTCCCGAAGGTGGGGCTCTTCAGCTGATGGGTCCTGGCCGGAGTAATAGTGGCCGCAGCTGCCACACGGCAGGCCCACACACATACCTGCCGAGCAGAGGGAGGGCTGGAAGGCAACACGAATTCTGGCTTTGCCTGCTAACTCGTGCGAGGGTCCTGTGTCCCTCGCGTCGCCAAACCCCAAAGCAAAGTCACCGGGTGGCAGCTGACAAACCAAGCCCGTCTGCGTGTGCGCTCGGCGTGGGCTCCTCCTGCTTTAATTTCAGCAATGCCACATCCTGCCCCTGATCTTTTTCCCTCTTCACCCTGGCTGTGGGGAGTTCGGAACCGAGTGTGGGGGAGATGGGAGCAGGTCCACAGTGAGTCCGCTTCACTTCCTGGTGCTTCACCTCTTCCCCCTCGTCGCCTCCCCCTTGTTTTGGTCCTCACTTAGTCCTCTTGCTCCCGGCTCGGCTTGGGTGCCACTTGCAGCCCTTCTGGAACACGGAGGCGTCGGAGCACGGCATGCATCTGCACGCGCGCGGAGAGCTCAGCCGAGGGGGCGGCGGGGGGCAGGGGGCGGGGGATGCGTGCCCAGCCCTGCCCCCAGCCCCTCCTCGCGCAAGCCCTTCCCCCCTCTGGGTCTCTGCTCCCCCCCGGTTAGGTCAGTTCCCAGGAGCCTCCTTGCTACAGGGTCGCCTTGCCGTCTCCCCCTGCTCCCCCTGCCTCCCTTCCCTGCTCCCTCCCGCAAGGGTCCCCTGGGGGGCGGGGGGGGGCCTGGCCAGAGCCCTGGGCCCCTGCTGGGGTGCCTTACCTTGAGGACAAACCCATCGGGGCAGGCACGGTCATACTTGTACACCTTGTAGACGACCAGGAAGACGACACAGGTGAGGAAGGCCAGGGCGAAGACGACCAGCACGGACACCTGCGGGCAGAGCGGGGCCGTCAGGGGGCTGCGAAGACCGCGTGCGGGGGCGGCCAGCCAGACACGCGGACACACAGCGGCGTCCGCAGAGCCCATCTGTGGTCGGAGCCCCAGCGGAGCCCCGGGAGGCTCCGGGGACGAGCGGTCAGCGGGACAACCTTCTCACCACGTCAAAAGCTCTCCCTCTTGTAAATGGCCCTGCGTGGGGAGCTAGGGGTGCAGGCACGACCGAGCATCATGGACACGGGAAGCACAGTGGAGCCGGCCTGTGGGTTGCCTTTCTGCCTGCTGCCAGTGACTGCGGTGACGCACCAGCCACCGGCTCATCAGCCATTCCAGATGTCTCCCGCGCCCGGGGCACCAGCCCTGCCGCTGGGCCGGGACCAGCGAAGCGGGAAGGCCAGAATCTCCGGGGCTCTCGTCACCTCTGCCCTCAAGTCTCCCGCGTGCTCAGTTGTGTTCCCTCTCCAGAGGGCAGTCCCCACAGTCACTGCTGTATGCCAAGCCGGCCGGCACATGGCGTGTGCTCAGCCGACACGTGCGGGTGGGTGTGGGACAAGACGGCGGGCACGGAGGTGGGAGATCCTGCACGGCCAGGGGCTGTGGGGCGCGGGGACAAAATGAGGGTGCTCGCTTGGCTGCTGGGAGACCCCCCCCCGACCCCCGCCCCCTGCGCAGGGGCAGGGCATGGCCGGAGGCTAAAAGGCCGTGCAAAGCCTCGGCAGCCCAGGTCGGGGGAGTGTGAGCTTCCCGACCCTGTGAGCAGACACAGCTTTCAGGCTCCTGAAGGGGGGCGGATTCAGAGGCTGTGCGGCCCTGGGTGCCGGCATGGGGCAGGGGCTCCATCAAGGTCAGCAACTCCTCCAGCCCCGGCCCTCCTGGGGGCCCCACCAGCTCCTTCCCCTGCCAAGCCTGGGTGGAACTCCGCCACTTCCTGGGGCTGCAGAAGAGGCTGGGGGCGAGCCCCCAGCGACAGTGCCCCGAGCCCTGCCCTGGCCTCGGGACCCCTGGGCGCGCGTCCCCCGACCCCGCGGGGCCTCCGTTACTGTACAGCCTCTCCACCTGTGAAAGAACAGAGCAGCGCTGGGCCCCATGACAATATGGGTGTGAGGAATGCCCCCCAGGGGGACAGATGGACAGATGCCCGCCCCGGGCATCCCCCTCCACCCGCCTCAGGCATGCCTCTCTGGCCCCCGGCCCCCTCACCCGTGACACAAGATGACACTTCCCCACCTCGCAGGTGCTGTGGGGGGTACGAGGGCGGCAGGAACTGGGCAGATGCCCACAGAGAACGACAGGGACTCTCCCGTTTCCCAGGCTCCTCGCCACCAGCCTGCAGGGTCCTCCCCAGGCCTGTGGGGGGCGGTGGGGAGCCCCGGCCAGGCGCCATAGCTGGGCCACTGGGAAGGGAAGCGCGCGGCCCACCGGGCTGGGGCCGGCCCGACCTAGAGCGCCGTCCCTTTCTGACCCACTCCAGGTGGCCCTCACACCCTGGGGCCCACGAGCACCCAGACGCTCCCTCCTCTTGCATGCCCACCCCTCCCCAGCTCGCGCTCGCTGGGCCCCAAGCACACAAGAAGCCTCTGCGTCACCCCCCATGAAGCCCTTCCCCCCCCCCAAGTCCCACCCATCCCCCTCACCATCTCTGTCCTCCACCCCCCTCTTCCCTTCCTGTGACCTGGGGACACCCTCACCTGGACCGTCAGGGCCGTCACCCTCTCTAGGGCCAGAGAAACTGCAGTCTGCCTGGACGGTCTATACTGCAGATGGAGCCCATGCCCGACACACAGACACTGGATGAAGTCACCGATACTTTGGGGCCCAAAGTGCCCACAGGAAAGGCACCACGGGGTTCCGGTGGCGGCTACAGCAAGACCACCACCACAGACCCCAGACAGCCCGGGGGGACGGCAGGGGTGGCTGAGCATGGAGCTGAAGGAGGTCAAATGTGTAGGACAGGCAAGGGGGCGGCAGCCCCAGGGCCACAGGGCCACAGACGCAGCAGCTGGGACCCTCATGCTTTCCAATGCGAGCAGCAGCCTCACTGGGGCTGACACCTGGGATGGGCAGTTCTGCGCAAGCGCCTCAGCTCCTCTGGGCCAGGCCCCTGCCTGCCAGTGGCAACAGGAGGACCCAGCTCCCAGGGCCGGGGGAAGGGCCGACGACCGGCAGCCCGACTGATGACAGCGCCCGGGCACAGTGCACGCCGGGAAGGAAGCGTTGGCCCTTGTTGCCGCAGGTGTCACCCCCCGTGACTCCCGCCCTCAGTCGGGTCACACGGCCAGCAGGTGCAGAGCTGGGCTCTCACCCAGGCCACGCAGCCTCCTTCATGCCCACTGCCCTGTCCTACCCCAGCCTCCTCCCCAGATTCACCCCAAATCTGCCTGCCGAGGACCCAGCTACCCGCTCGCAGCCCCTGGGGGCAGCAAGCTTCAAGGGCTCTGCACCGTCCAGGGCAGCAAGGCTGCCTCACCCCGGCAGGGTGGTCTGTGGGAAGAGCTGTGTTTAATATAACTAGTTTCCTTCAGAACCCTTTGTATTTTTTTTCAAGTAGGCTCCACCAACATGGGGCTTGAACTCACGATCCTGAGATCAAGACCTGAGCTGAGACCAAGAGTAGGACATTTAACTGACTGAGCCAGCCCACATGCCTCATAACCCTTTGTACTTTACTTTAGGGCATTTGAAAACATGCCAAAAAGCGGCCCATGCCACGCAGTAGGTTCAGAAGCCCTGTTAGACTGTTATCTCCTCGGTGAAATATTAGCAAACAATTCAATAATACATTAAAAGGATCATACACCATAATAAAATAGGATTCATTCCAGGGATGCAAGGATGGTTCAACACCCGCAAATCAATGTGATACATCACGTGAATAAAACGAAGGACAAAAACACGTGATCATCTTCAAGAGATGCCGGAAAAGCATTCGACAAAATTCAACATCCATTTATGATAAAAACTCTCAACACGGTATAGAGGGAACATGCTTCAACGTAATAAAGGCCATCTAGGGCAAGCCCACAGCTAACAGCGTAATGGTGAAAAGCTGAAAGCTTTCCCTCTTAAGATCGGGAACAAGACAAGGATGCCCACTCACGCCACTTCTGTTCACCATATACTGACGTCCAAGCCAGAGCATTAAGAAAAAGAAAAGTCATCCACATTGGAAAGGAAGAAGTAAAACTGTCACTATTTGCAGGATGACATGACGTTACATACAGAAAACCCTAATGATTCTACCAAGTAACTCTCAGAACCAATCAACAAATTCGATAAAGTTGTAGGACACAAAACCAATACACAAAAATATGCAGTGTTTCTATACATAATAGCAAACCATCAAAGAGACAAAATAAGAAAACAGTCCCATCTGGGGCGCCTGGGTGGCTCCATTGGTTAAGCGTCTGCCTTCGGCTCAGGTCATGATGCCAGGTTCCTGGGATCGAGCCCCGGGTCGGGCTCCCTGCTCAGTGGGAAGCCTGCTTCTCCCTCTCCCACTCCCCCAGCTCATGCTCTCTCACGCTATGCTCTCTCTTAAATAAAATCTTAAAAAAAAAAAAAAAAAAATCCCATCTGCAATTGCATCTAAAAGAATATCTATGAACAGGTTTAACCAAGGAGGTGAAAGACCTGTACACTGAAAACTCTAAGACGCTGATAAGAAAACTTGAAGATGACACAAATAATGGAAAGATATTCCGTGTTCGTGGTTTGAAAGAATTAATATTGTTTAAATGTCCGTTCTGCCCAAAGCAATCTACAGGTAGAATGCAATCCCTATTGAAATTCCAATGGCATTTTTCACAGAAATGAAACAATCCTCAAATTTGTATGGAACCACAAAAGACCCCAAATAGCCAAAGCAATCATCTTGAGAAAGAAGAACAAATCTGGAGGTATCGTGTTCCCTGATTTCAAACTATATTACAAAACAAAAGCAATCAAAACAGTATGGTACTGACAGAATTAGAATACAGACCCCAGACATGACCCTATACGTACACGGTCCATTAATTTATGACAAAGGAGCCAAGAATAGGCACGGGGAAGGACAGTCTCTTCAGTAACCGCTACTGGGAAAACCGGACAGCTACATGCAAAAGAATGAAACTGGACCACCTTCTTACACTATACACAAAAACTAACTCAAAAGCAATTAAAGACTTAAACACAGGACCTGAAACTATAAAACGCCTAGAAGAAAACAGAGTTAAGCTCCTCGATACCAGTCTTGGCGACGATTTTTTTAAATCTGACACCAAGAACAAAGGCAACACATGCAAAAATAGACAAGTGGGACATTAAACTAAAAGTGGGACAGCAAAGGAAACCATTAACAAAATGGAAAAGCCGGCCTCCCGAGTGGGAGAAAATATTTACCAGTCATATGTAGCGGATAAGGGGGTTAAGGTCCAGAATACATAAGGAACTGCTACGACTCAATGGCAAAAAAACAAACAATCCAATTTTTATAGTGTTTGTGTTACACGGTTGAAATTACCATAACGGTGTATGTCAAACAATCGTCAGTTAAAACACACACACACACCCCCACACACGCACGCGCACACACACACACACACAATCTCACATCCTAGGGCATTCTTAAACCTGTCCCTTGAATTTGGAAGCCACGCCTGTGTTTGGTTCCCAGCGCCCCATCTGTTCAGGTTTAAAAATAAGCCCCATCTCTCGGCGGGGCTGCGAGGAACCACTTTCTCTGGGGCCCTCCTCCTGGAACCTGGCCTGGGCCTTTCATCCGGGATTCCCGGGCCGGACAACCGAGGAGCTCACAGAACCAGGAAAAGAGACCGTGACAGTTCCTGCAGTAGTCAAGGGAGAGGGGCAAAGAAAGACACCCACAGTCAGGAGGGGGTGCCTGGTGTGGCAAAACCCTTCCCCTGCAGGCTGTCCCCATTTCCCACCCCCACACCTCTGCAAACCCTGAGCCTCTCCTGGGCCCAGAGTCTGCACAGACCTGGGAAGTGCCCCAC